GTGGCACTGGTGTGGCGCAGCTGGTCTCGTTGACGACGGCTTGAGGGAGATCGATGATGGGTCCGCTATGGTCAGAATCTGTGTCATCTTCTTCCTCCTCTTGTGTTGTTTCCTGTGCTCTTGTTAGTTCCTGCTGGATAGAGGGTGGTAGAGAGGAGGAAGAGGAAAACTTCTGCCAATCTGCAAGGGACATGTCTTCATAGAAGACCACATCCCTTGAAACCACTTCTCGCTTGGTGACGGGATCCCAAAGGACCCATCCCTTGCTCTCGTTGCTCATGCCGATGAAGAGGCCCCAATGAGCTTTGCTGTCCAGCTTGAGTCTCTTTGCATCTGGAACACGGTATTGGGCCATGGAACCAAAAACACGAAGCATAGAAAGATCTGGTTTAACTCCAAACCAAGCCTCATATGGCGTTACACCATCCGGTAGGGGCCTTCTGGGTCTCCTGTTGCGAACATAAATTGCCATAGTGATTGCCTCACCCCACCAGAGCTTGTCAAAGCCCTTAAACTGAAGAAAAGTGGTAGCTATAGCTTGAATAGTGCGATGAAACCTCTCTGCCACTCCGTTTTGCTGAGGACTATAGGGACAAGTGAACTGTTGTTTGATGCCCAATGCCAACAACTCCCCCTGAAATGCTTTCCCCATGTACTCACCTCCTCGGTCCGACCTCAAGGTGAGTAACTTCTTCCCTGACTCTCTCTCAACAAGTGCTAGCCATTGCTTGAAACACTTGTGCACTTCATCCTTGGTGTTGATGAAAAAGGACCACGAGAAACGACTCTTGTCATCAATGAAAGACACCAAATATTTCTTACCGTTTCGAGTAGGGTCTCGCATGGGGCTGAAAACATCAGTGTGGACCAACTCTAGGAGGTCCCTTGACTGAGACTTAGAAGGGAAGAATGGCTTTCTAGCTAGCTTACCTTCCACACAAGATGGACATGGATCGGAAGAAAGGGACTTGACTGCAATTTCACTCAAACTCAATCCTTTCACGCTCTTGTGATTTACCAACTCTTTCAATGCTTGCACTCCCACGTGCCCCAAGCGTGCATGCCATACCTCAGCTTGGGAGATACTCCCTTTGTTGTTGACTTGATCGGTTGAAACAGTGGGAAGCGAAACAATGTCGTTCTTCGCGTTGCTAGAACCGCGCTTAATCTCCAACTTCATCTTGTAGAGACGCCCGGTACGCTCGCCTTCAGCCACCAAATTTCCTGCACTATCCCACACTTTGGCTTTCCCCCCTTGCAAAAGAACAGAGGCACCTTTCTCTTCAAGTTGTCCAGCTGAGAGCAAGTTTGCTCCCAAATCAGGAACAAATAAAGCTTTATTGACACAAAAAGACTTACCATCCTTTTCAAACTCAAGCTTGCCGACTCCTTTGATAGGTACTTTGCCAAGATCAGCAAGTGTCACAGCTTTTGAGTCATACGAGGGCTGAAAATCTTTGAGAATGGACTGATAGGGAGTCATGGTTTCAGAACAGCCACTATCAAGAATAAACTCCTCACTACTAGTAGAAAAAACGTACATGCAAGTAGCAGCGTTGAAAAGGACAGGATCATCAGAATCTTTGGACTCATTTTGACTTGTAGAATGACTTGCTATATTTGCTATGGCTGCCTTACCCTTTTCAGATAGTAGCTGAGGAGGGGGGACCCAATTAGGAGGCTTCTTAGGACAAGCATACCACGGATGACCCTACTCATGACAACAAAAACACTCAAAATTAAACTTTTTAGCATTCGAGGCTTGGCTGAAATTATTGACTCTTGGCGGATTAACTCTTGCATTCCTAGGCTGATATTGATTGGGAATAGAAGGCCTTGGCTGGACATAGGGACTTGACTTATAGGGAGGACTTGACTGAGCAAAACGAGAGGGTTTGTATGGGTTGGAAGGTGACTGAAAATTCGTACCATAGTAGGGTTGAGGGCGGTTTGGGCTGAAATTTCCTTGCCTCTGGGATTGGTTGCCATATCTTGTGGCTGCTATAGCACTCCATGCACCTTCGTCACTCCGCTTGTTCCGTGCAAGGTCCCGACTCTGCTGCTCGTTGACAAGGGCCTCAAAGATGAACGCACGACTCTTCATTGACTGCGGGAGCGCTTGTAGTGTTGCACGGAAAGTGTCCCACTCCGGTGTAAGGCCACTGAGGATGACGGTCTTGAAAAGAGACTCTGGAATCTCCAAGCCGATCGCTGCTGCTTCCTCCAACATTGCTTCAGCTCGTTGTAGGTAGGCTTGTGTTGATTCATCTTCTTCCATCTTCAGATTCATGAAGCGGCTCCACATCTCGGCTTGGCTGCTCTCGGATTTTGACTGGTGCATAGACTTCAGTCGACTCCATGCTTCCTCTGCACTGTTTGCCTTGGTAGAACAGGGCAGGAGCGACTTCAACTGCTGCTCGTGAATGCTATTGAGTAGGTAGAGGAAGGCCTCCTTGTTGCGCCGTTCGTAAAGTCGTTTTTCAGCTTCTGAAGCATCTGCTGCTGGTTTGGATGCTTCTCCAGTGTAGTAAGGCCACAGATCCAGAAGAGATGCAGTGAGCTCAAACTGGGTTGCCCATGTTGGAAAATCTTTGCCGTTGAACTTGGGGAGGTGAAGCTTAGGCATGAAGGAGGTGAGTGGTGAGTATGTTGTTGAAGCACTGCCTGGTGCAACTGCTTCCACTAATCCAGTAGTTGCTGATGTTGACTCTGAAGCTCCTCCGGCTGGCTGGAGTGCAGGACCACATGGGATTGTCTCCCGCCATGTTCGTATGGTGCTAGGATAGGAACGTCGTGGGCTAGGTTGATCGAAACGACGAGCTCTGATACCAACTTGCAAAACAGAGTAGCTTTGATGACTGGTAGGCTGGAAACTTGGCTGGAAAAGCTCAACAGAGCTGCTGGACTTGGCTTGATGAGAGAAAACTTCACTATGATCAAGATTAACAAGCCCACTAAAGCACAACTTCTTAAGCATTACAAACATGCAGATTGATAGCTCAAACTAGGCTGCTAGACAAGGCAACTTCCTTGGGAACTTGGGCACAATTCAGATTTCATGAACCTTGAGTGACTTGAGAGCCACATGAGGTGCATGAATAAGAAATCTCTGGAATGTACTGTTATAGCTGATTCTGTTTTGTAGAAACCTGTAGAAACTGTCGACCCTTCTGTTTGAGAGCAATCCCGAACTGTATCGAGTCTTCGGCTGCAATCTGATTTGCTCAATCTCTTCTTCCTCGACCTTCAACCAATGCACCAGGGATTTTTTTGGCTCAAATCTGGATTCTCGGGACTGAGGTGGCGTCCCCACGTTTGCCCGCCATCAAAGTTCTCCCACGCGGGTCGCAATTTCGTCAAATGTTGTAATTGTGGAGAAACGCGGCTCCATGTCTCGACACCAGTAAACAACCAATTCGAACCGTACGATCTAGTTTCGAGGTCAGCTGGTAACTCAATCCAACAGCTAACGACGACATCTGCAAGGCTTGGTGTGCAGTAGACGCGCAGGTTTACAAAAAAATTTTGGGGAGAAAGCAGATAAATAATTGGTACACTGCCACTCTAAGCGCACGAAATTGGAGTCGACTCTACTCTTAAGCGCACCTAATTATTTGGGTCAATCCACCTCAGTTATCCTACCACTATCCCCTTTCAGCATGGCGAAACTCGCCAGCGCTCTCTGATTGGGAGCGAACTTTGTTGCAAATTATGTGATCATATGCATGGTCGTCAGTCATACCACAGTGTCCGAAGTGGGGCAGCACCCCACCTCGGACACCTTCCTTCTCAAATTGTGAACTTGGTGGGAAAACTTGATGGCGGGCAAACGTGGGAACGCTATCTAAGAGAGCTGTTTGCAGAAATCCCAAGGGCAGTGGTTGGGTGCTGCTGCAATGTGAGTGATCTGGTTTGCAGCTCGCCACCTAGCCGGTTACCATCATATTAATTCGCATTTTGAGTTACCAAAAGTGTCTAACGATATTCGGTTTGAGGGACAATGGTACTCGGTAACATCGTTCGTTGTTTATGCTGCGAACGTCGTCACCCTCATTGCTTTTCGAGTCTGTTCGTTAATCACATAAGGTCTTTATTCATCGTATCGATAGTTATTTTAGACGTTCGAATGTTCCAATAGCGATGTTATTATACACTCCACTTATGCATGTGTTTGCAGCCTGCATCCTTTCCTCGTTGGCTGATTCTTCATGCCAACGCATGCTTGGTTGACGACGCACGTGACGATTGTCGTGGACAGGGGAGATCACACGTGCATGCAGCCACTAAAACAAAGAGTACAGCATTTGCAAGCATGGAAACAGGTCAATCCACTCTAGATAACGTGGACCTGACGCAGCATTTGTGCCGCGACCGCACCGACTTTGGGAAATTTCCATGGTCAGCGTGCCTGGTTGGCGGAAGAAATTGCCGTTATATACGCGGAGCCTTCATTCCGCGAATTCCCCTGAGAAGTACAAGGCGCACCACTCGCAAAGCTTCGCATGGTAACCATGCGTCCATCTAGCCAAGGAGGCCGGAAAGGAGGAATCCGAAAGAGATGGTTGTGGCTCGCTGTGATTTCGCTGATGCGCGCAAAATTCTCCGCCGGCGCCCTTCAAGTTGCTCCGCCAGTAGTTGCGCGGGGTGGGGTGACTCTGCTCTGCTCTCCTCTCCGCTGCCCTGCTGTGCTCTGCTCTGATCTGCTCCGCACTGCTCAATTCTGCACCCCACGGGCGCGACTGCCCGCCACTCCACATTCACGCCTGCCGCGTGCCGTTGCAGCGTGACATGACAATGCACTCAACAAAGGTAGTGTATTTCCAGGTGGTGTGGTCTGGATTCAAATAAACGCTCCACCCCATTCTTGGTTTTGCCCGCGCACAGTGAAACCTTGTTCATTAGTCACATAATCTGGCGTCGCGCGACATTAGTCTTGGAAACCAGCTCCACCTCCTATCCTTCCGGTTACCTTCTTTTATTCTCTACATCCGACTATAGCCATGGCGGCGAGCCTTCAATCTTCTATTCAAACCGCGAGCATTAGAGTACCAGTCACACTCCACGTGCCTCCGCAGAGGCTATCCCTGCCAAACTCCTTTCTCCCGCCTCTCTCTCCCCGCTTCTCTCGCCATGCTGACCGATGCGCGGACGCGCGGGATTCGCAGCGAGATGCACTGCACGGTTTACAGAAAGATCGCGCTGGCGGCGCGAAAACCGCAGCGCGGATGCAGTTTGGCGAGTTCGGAGAGTTCGAGCATGTCGAGTCAGCGTTTGACTACGCTGACGAGGAGTTTTCTCGCGCCACCGTGCTCGAAGCGAGTGAGTCTGCTTCACAACGCGCATGTTCTTTTCACGGCGCGTGACGTTTCGCTGCAGAGAGGCTGCGTTATGAGCACGGGCTCCGTTACAAGCACGTGCTCCGAGTACGACCACGGGTTCCGTTTTAAACGCAAGTGTACGTAGTGACCGTTACAAGCACAGGATTGGTTACGAGCACACGACTGCTCACCTTTCCCCATCCGTTTCCCGCGCCGCCTTCTACCCCACGACCCTACCCTCCATTGCAGCGAGTGCCAGCAGCAGCGGAGACACGCTGTTGGTGGGAATGACGGACGGCATATCGTTCAAGTGCTCGCACAGCCTCATGGACGGGGTGCGCCTCCCTACCTTCCCCTTGCTCATTTTTCCTCCACTGCTTTCCCCACCGTCTCTCTTCCTTTTCCACCCCCCTCCCTCCTCCCATCCCGGCCGCACCGTGCAGCGAGTGTCAGCAGCAGCGGCGACGCGCTTCTAGTCGGCATGACGGACGGCATATCGTTCAAGTGCTCGCACAACCTCATGGACGGGATTCGCCTCCCCGAATACCCTGCGCAGCCGGCAGCTGTTCTTAAACTCGAAGACGGCTCGCGCATCCTCCTCCCCATCCTCATACGTGAGTGCTGGCTTGAAGCTTAACGCGATTCTCCGTATCGAGTACACGTTGTGGAAAAGCCCCTCTGATTGAGAGGGTGCGCATGTGCCTCCGCGAGTACACCGCGCATCCCGCCCGCCCCCTCGTGCTGGAGCTGGAAGACGTCTGCGACGCAGGTCGGGGGAAGGGGAAATACGGGGGAAGGGGAGGGTGTGGGGGAAGGGGAAGGATGGGAAAAGGCGAGCGAGGGGGGAAAGGGGGAAGGAAGGGGAAAGGCGAGCGAGGGGGGAAAAGGGGACGGAAGGGGAAAGGCGAGGGACGGTGGAAGGGGAGAGGGAAGGTGACCGGTATATTGCTCCTTATTTCGCACTTGCTTCCTGCTCATTTCTCATCTGCTCCACGCCTCTCCAGCAAAATGCGCATCGGCTCTGAGTTATCTTCCCCCCTTCATTTGCCCTTCCTGTCTCTCCCCTGTTTTCGTTTCCCCATCTTTAGCGCACCTCTCCAGCCGAATTCTCATCGACTCAGTGTCTCCCCCCTCTCCCCTCCCCCCTTTTTCCCCCCTTCCATTCCTTCCCCCTCTCCCGTGCTTCTCTCCTTCCCCGTCCCCCATCTGCAGCGCACCTCTCGAGCCAAATGCTCATTGACTCGGTGCGCGGCGTGCCTCTGGTGAGTTGACGGTTCCTCTAGTGGCCGTAAACTGTGTGATTATATTGAATGTAGAGTTGATGGTTCCTCTAGTGGTTTGGGCAAGTTGGTGGTTTTGATTCCGGTAGGGCTTTTGGTGGTTCTAAGCAGAGGTCATTTTACGAGACATGGAGTGCTATTCGTTTGCAAGAACGAAACTCTTAACAGTGCTTCTAGTGTGCTTGTGTTGTGCTATGCTGACGTGGCAGGCTCGGCCAACGGTGTACATGCTAATGCGAGATATGATTGAGTTGATGGGATATGAGGTGAGGTGGTGTGATGTTATCATCAGGTGACACTATGGAATGTTAGGTGAAATGATTTTGGATGTAAATGGTTCTGTGGTGTTTGACTGACTGTCGTCAACTGCTATTGTGATTCACATATCCAACCCAACCGGCTTAGCTGCTGACTTCGAATTTCGTTTTCAACACCACAAACGGGTTTTTTCACGTCTGTCCGTCCGTCCGCCCGTCTCCCGGTTTCTGACTGCAGATCAGTTTGATTCGCATCACCCATCGAGATGGGGATGCCTACTGTGCCCGGGCCTACCTTTCCAAGGTTTGTCCTGAAATTTTTTTTGGTGCCTTCAGAATTCAATCTGGTGCGTATCTCCCATTGTTGCGCATCTCCCATTGTTGCGCATCTCCCATTGTCGCGCATCTCCCATTGTCGCGCATCTCCCATTGTCGCGCATCTCCCATTGTCGCGCATCTCCCATTGTCGCGCATCTCCCATTGTCGCGCATCTCCCATTGTCGCGCATCTCCCATTGTCGCGCATCTTCCATTGTCGCGCATCTCCCATTGTCGCGCATCTCCCATTGTCGCGCATCTCCCATTGTCGCGCATCCCCCATTGTCGCGCATCTCCCATTGTCGCGCATCTCCCATTGTCGCGCATCTCCCATTTTCGCGCATCTCCCATTGTCGCGCATCTCCCATTGTCGCGCATCTCCCATTGTCGCGCATCTTCCATTGTTGCGCATCTCCCATTGTTGCGCATCTCCCATTGTTGCGCATCTCCCATTGTCGCGCATCTCCCATTGTTGCGCATCTCCCATTGTCGCGCATCTTCCATTGTCGCGCATCTCCCATTGTCGCGCATCTCCCATTGTTGCGCATCTCCCATTGTCGCGCATCTCCCATTGTCGCGCATCTTCCATCGTCGCGCATCTCCCATTGTCGCGCATCTTCCATTGTTGCGCATCTCCCATTGTCGCGCATCTTCCATTGTTGCGCATCTCCCATTGTCGCGCATCTTCCATTGTTGCGCATCTCCCATTGTCGCGCATCTCCCATTGTTGCGCATCTCCCATTGTCGCGCATCTTCCATTGTTGCGCATCTCCCATTGTCGCGCATCTTCCATTGTTGCGCATCTCCCATTGTCGCGCATCTTCCATTGTTGCGCATCTCCCATTGTCGCGCATCTCCCGTTGGTCCGTACCTCCCATTGGTGTCCAACATACTTCTCTCGGGCCTCATACATCACCTTTTCCTGCTGACAGTAGCACAACCAGCAACTGCAGCAGCCACAGCAGCAGCATGCCTGCTATGATACGCCTGGACATGCAATGCAGCCGCCTAAAGCTGATTTGGATCTTTCCACTTTTCCTCAAATCCCATTCCACCCGCTCTTGCAACAGGTGCCTTCTGATAGTAACACAGCCACCAGCAGCAGCAGCGGGCCTGCTATGATGAGTCTGGACTCTGGACATGCAATGAAACCTTCTTGAGCTGACTTGAATCTTTCCTCGTTTCCACCCGCTCTTGCAACAGGTGCCTTCTGATAGTAACACCGCCAGCAGCAGCAGCAGCGGGCCTGCCATGATGAGTCTGGACATGCGGCCGTCTGATGCCATCAACCTAGCAGCACGCGCCAAGGTGGGTGGCTGTACCGAGTTCTACCGAAGTGTGAGTGTACCAGGTCAATTGCAGATTCACTAGCCACCAGCAACAGCGCTTGCAGCAGCAGGACTGGCAGCAGCAGCAGCGGGCCTGCCATGATGAGTTTGGGCATGCGGCCATCAGATGCCATCAACCTAGCTGCACGCGTCAAGGTGAGTCAATGTAGCATTGTACCAACATGCGTGTGGTTCTGACGACGGGTGTGAGTGAGACAAGTGGGGTCGTTGCGGTGAGATACAGTGGCAAAGAAAGGATGAACAGCAACCATGAATGGCGAGAACCAGATCCAGTGAAGAATCAGGGCAGTGGTATGGGTAGGGGACAGGGACAAGGGGCAGGGGCAGGGACTGGAATACGGCGCAGGGTGGGGGAGGGGATGGGCAGGGGCAGGGGTAGGAGGCAGGTAGAGGGGGCAGGGGGTTCTTAGCTTGGACACAGGCTTTCAGGTGGTCAGGCTTACAAATTTCTTCTTGCTCTTCTCAGCAGGGTGTTCCCATCCTGCATCGCCATTGCATCAGGCGCTTATTCAGGTGTGTTTCTGTTGTTTCAGGTGCCGATTCAGGTGCGGAAATCCCTGGCGGTGGCGGACGGAGTGCGGATAGTCGGGATGGTGCGGGCGGCAGTGGCACCTGGGCATGGTGGGCGGCTGCTGAGACGGCAGCCGAGAGTGGTGCTGACGTCAGATGACAAGTGAGTGGTGGGATGCTGACGGAGCATACGGTGCTGCCTGAATAAGAATACGTGAAGCCGATAGTAGGTTCGAGTGAGGAGGAAACAAGCCACGTTCCCTCCTCAGAGCAACCAAACAAAAGAACGCTATGCTCCATCCTCGTTCCCTCTCTCCTCTTCCTATCCACTCTCATCCTCTCCCTTCTTCCCGCCCACTTCCCCGCAGGCCTGATCTCGAGGACCAATCACTGGCGGACGAGTTTGCCCTGGTGAGGCTGATGGAGGAAGCAGCGCAGCTTAACTAATGGTACCATCTCTGCACCCTTTTCTGCTTGCCTCCCTCTCCCGCCCCCCTCTCCTCGTTTCGTGTTCCACAGGCCAGATTTTGAGGACTTATCACTGGCGGACGAGTTTGCGTTGGTGAGGCTGATGGAGGAAGCAGCGCAGCACGAGCGATACGGCGATGCAGCGAAGATCAAGGACCAGCTGACGAAGCTGCGCCGGAGAACCAACAAGGTGAGGGGCTGTTCGAGGGGTGGTATGTGAGGGAGTCACGGCAATGCCGCGACGCTTGAAAAAATAAACCGATGAAGCTGCGACGGAGAACCAACAAGGTGAGGAGGCGGAGAGGAGAGAGGTATAGAGGGGAATTGGGTGGGTGTAGGTATGGAGGGATGAAGGAAAGGGGAGTGGTGGTGTAGAGGGATGGAGGAGGGACAGTGGGGAGGAGAGGTTGAAAAGTTGTAGCTTCCTGAAGTGGCAGCTTTTCGTGATATGTCACATGACACCCAACCAGAAACAGACCGCAGTGCTGCTGAACACTGCTTAATGAGTGTATGCTGCTGTCCATGCATCCTAACCCCTCGCGCCATCCACTGTTTTGTCCCTTTGTTGTTTGTTCAATGCAGGTGTAGAACTGTCCGTTTGGCTACTGCAGTGGCAGTAAGGAGATGGGGGGTGCGCCCTGCCTTTTGTACATTAGGGGTCGCCTCTCTCTTGTTTTGATCTGTGGCGTTTTGCGTCTTTTTTCTATTGGGGGTTTCCTCTAGTGAACACTATCCTCCAGTGTTATTGCGAACGATAGAATGTATAGTTGGTTTTGTGTTTGTGGTTGTATAAATATGGTGTACATTCAGTCTGAAGTGGAACCTGATTTTGTTTTGGCCAAAGCGCATTATGTGAACGTATGGCTTTTGCAGATAATCCTCATGGTAGTGTATCCATCAGCTGATTTCGACATTTGACGAATGTCGCTTGTACCGCATCCTTTGATAGTCAAGGCCCACTCCTGGGTTTTGACACCATCCAAAGTTTTCCCACGCGGTTCGAAACTATCGCCGTGGCATTAACTGACATTCAATTATCCTACGCGTTTCGAAGTTCAGACATGTTGCGTTCACCCGACGACGGTTTTTACGACAGCATTGCCCGTCAGTGTGCGACCTCAGCGATCCTTCCATTAGGGTTTGGTTTCTACTACTGCTGTCGATTGCTTTGTTCATGACTGCCCAAAAACAAAATGTTGTGAGTCCCTGTCCAATAAAAACACCAAATTGTGATGAAAAAAACGAGGTGTAGCCAGCTTGTTAGCCATAAATACACCGTTTTTGTTTCCTCGTTTGTTTACAATGCCCGGATGTCAGGCTGCTCTGTTTCAATATTGGCGCGGAAGTTTGGTCAACGCGAGCCTTGACGTTTTGACGAGAGAATCCATTGGTCGCGAAATAACTTCTGTTGGACACCGGTCAGACGATGCTGGCGACCAGTGTCGCCTGCCTAAGCTAGGTTCGGTGTCCAAAGTGGAATAGTTCCCCGCCAGGACACCATCAGGCTGGTAAAATCGGTCTGGTGGGGGAACTTTGATGGTGTCCAAACCTGGGACTGCGATCTCGCTCTGCACTGTCGACAGCCGTTCTCTCTTGCCATTTCTCGCTTTTCATACCCCTTTATTTGCTGGAACATTCGAAGCGCTTCCATCTTAGAACTACGATTCTGGCCATGGAGCGTAAATTTAGATAAGATTTTCTTTCTAGGTTTGTAAGCGTGGTGGTTTGATTTTTTCTGGTTCAAGGGATACACGCAAAGCCTGCAGGCGGCACCAGCTGCTGACAACTACTCGTGTGGGCAGCGGCGAATGCGGATGTTAGCTACGTAGGTTCGTCGCCGTTTCGCCCCGTAGCTTGTAGCACTCTCGGATCGTAGATTCGTAGCAGCAGCCTAGCTGACGTGCGAGAAGGCAACTCTAGAAGGGATTATTCTATCACTTTCATGCACAAAGAATAACCTACTTGGCTTTGCAACAGTATCATAGCGGCATTACCCTGCGGCAGCCTGCATCAGCAGTGCGACGAGCGGCAGCACCACCAGCAGTTGATGCCATGTCGGACAGGCTCGCTCCGGACAAGCGGTTCAAGTTCGTTCACAACGGTGAGATTATGAAGCATAGAGCAACAGCATTCGCAGCAGCATTACCGTACCAGCAGCGGCAGTAGCACAACGGCAGCTACCGGAGTCGGACAGGCTCGCTCCAGACAAGCGGTTCAAGTTCGTTCACAACGGTGAGACAGTGTGTGCGATGAAGTATAAAACAACAGCATTAGCAACAGCGTTACGAGCTCCAGCAGCGGCAGTAGCACAGCGGCAGCACTACCAGCAGCAGGTGATGCCATGTCGGACAGGCTTGATCGGACAAACAGTTCAAATAAGATCACAACAGTGAGATTGATTTAGGCTTGAGATGAACAGAGTTATAGGTTTATTATACAGGAGCAGTGGAATTCTAGATGGAGTTTCAAGTCGTTTGCAGTGGAATGGTGCTGTTGAGACAAGGTTTCTATCTCAAAATGCCGTCGAACTGCCCCAAATTTCTTTTGAATTCTCCCTACATTCTAACTCCACAGGCCAAACCTTCTATGAATGGCCTTTGAGGCGCCTCATCAAACGTTTCTCTTCAAACTCTCGCTCCAATTTTAAACCCGCAGGTAGTAAAACAGTCTTTGAGTGGAACCAAACCAGAGAAGCTGCTTTAGTGTGGAGAGAAAAACAAGGGCCCGTCTCATTCCTCTTAGTGAATGAAATCAGAGGGGGTTGCTTAGTGTGTCTTCCTCCCATTCCTTTTTCGATTATCCCTCCCGTTCTAAACCCCTCAGGCCAAACCGTCTATGAGTGGGACCAGACAGTTGACGAGATAGAGATTTTCGTTCCGCTGCCCGAAGGAGTGCCCGCGAAACTGTTCACATGCCAAATATCGCAACGGCGTGTCACAGTCGGCATCAAGGGCAACCCCCCTTACTTAGATGTATGTTTCTTCGAACAACCCTATTAGTGTGACAGTGACTCAGGTGATTTATGGGGCGCCTCAAAAGAGAGATTTGAGGCACTTGAAAAGATTTTTGAGGTGCCTAACAAGTTTTTTTTGGCGCCTAAAAATAGATTTTTGAGGCGCCTAAAAAACCCCCCTTACTTGGATGTTTGTCTCTTCAAATTACTCTATTAGTGTGACTGATAAGCTGTCTAAGAGGATTATGGTGTGGTGTCTTTATGACAGAACCATATCGCATGGTCGCATCACATGAGAGACATACACCCAAGTAAGGGTCACATTGGGAAATCAGCACTTAAGATTTCATCCTTGTTTCGGTAGAAAAATGCGTTACCCCTCCGTGCTTACTGGTCAATTCTTTTTCAATTCCAAGTTATTTGGGGTCTACGGTTATCGTTCTGCTTGTCTTGTTTGTTTCTCTTCTTGGTTCCTCTCACGTATCTCCCCTCTCATCCTCTCACCTCTGCTCTCCCCCTCATCGCACCACTCATATCTCTCCCACATGGCAGCGCAACCTTGTCGGACCTGTGAATGTGTAAGACAACTTCTAAATCGACTCACGAGACGCCTCTTGTCAATTCCTCCCATCCCTCACATCCACTCACCTCCGCTTGGCGCTCTCTCGTCGTGTGTGTGCCTTTCCCTCTCTCACATGACAGCAAGTCCTGGCCGGGGCCGGGAAGGTGGAAGACAGATCCTGAGTCCACCCAAAAGAAGTATTTTCTCACCTGTTTTCGCTTGATCTCACCTCCTCTCAACCCCTCTCTCATCCTCTGCCTTGCTCTTACCCACGTGGCTGGCAGCACGACCTAGCTGGGGCTGTGAAGGTGGACGACAGCTTCTGGACCATTGGTGAGTAGCAGCTCTTCTCCCCCTTCTCCATCTCACACGTGTGTTGAATTGAGTTTCTCACAGTCTAGCTCCGGCTGTGAAGGTGGACGACAGCTTCTGGACCATTGGTGAGTTAGCGGCTCCTCTTTCCCCTCCTCCAGAATAAGGCTTTTAGAGTCCTTGACGTAAAGACTATGGCTCCCGTCTGGGGTTCCATCGGGCTCCTCTTCCCGCTCCTCCATATCACATGAAAATCTACCCGAGTTACCACAACTTAGCTGTCCCTCTGGAGGTGAAAGACTGCTTCTGGACTGCTATTGAGTGCCTGCTCCTGTTCTCCACTTCATCCTTCTGTTTTCCCCTTCTGTTTGGTTCGCCCACTCTGTGTTGCTCTTTTCGAAGTGACACGTTACGTTATCATGCCATATCTGGGTACCTTAGGGTTTGAATTATCGTATCTGTTCCACGCAGGTCACTGAGCTCCCTTGGCACAATCAAAGGGGCACAGTTGTAATGCCATTTCCTCCCCGTCTTCTCCTCTTAACGTCCCACAGAGGGCACTGAGCTTCACATCTCGTTGCAAAAGGCTGATTGAAGCGTTGCATGCCAATCACAGCCCCCCCTGCATTTCCGCATCCCACAGAGGGCACTGAGCTTCACATCTCGTTGCAGAAGGCTGATTGAAGCGTTGCATGCCAATCACAACCCCCCCTGCATTTCCGCATCCCACAGAGGGCACTGAGCTTCACATCTCGTTGCAGAAGGCTGATTGAAGCGTTGCATGCCAATCACAACCCCCCCTGCATTTCCGCATCCCACAGAGGGCACTGAGCTTCACATCTCGTTGCAGAAGGCTGATTGAAGCGTTGTATGCCAATCACAGCCCCCCCTGCATTTCCGCATCCCACAGAGGGCACTGAGCTTCACATCTCGTTGCAGAAGGCTGATTGAAGCGTTGCATGCCAATCACAACCCCCCCTGCATTTCCGCATCCCACAGAGGGCACTGAGCTTCACATCTCGTTGCAGAAGGCTGATTGAAGCGTTGCATGCCAATCACAACCCCCCCTGCATTTCCGCATCCCACAGAGGGCACTGAGCTTCACATCTCGTTGCAAAAGGCCGAACGAGGCAAGCCGTGGCCGGGTGCAATCAAGGGGCACACTTTGGATGCTTTCTCTGCGGACCAGGAGTCGAGACGGCTCATGCTGGAGCGGTTTCAAATAGAGGTGGGTGTGGAGTGGAAGCATTTCAGATAGAGACGGCTTGGGACATAGGCACTAGAGCGCTTTCAGAAAGAGGCGAATAGGTGCAATCACAGGGCACCCTTTGATGCCTTCTCTGCGGACCACGAGTCGAGACGGCTCATGCTGGAGCGGTTTCAGATCGAGGCGGGTGGGAGCGTTTCAGATAGAGACGGCTTGGGACATGGGCACCAGAGCGCTTTCAGAAAAGAGGCGTATGGGTGCAATCACAGGGCACAGTCTCGGTTCGTTCTCTGCGGACCAGGGGTCCAGACGACTCATGCTGGAGCGGTTTCAGATCGAGGTGGGTGGGGGGCTTGGGTTGAAACATAAGTAGGCACACCAGGCACACTCTTGATGCTTTCTCTGCGGACCAGGAGTCGAGACGACTCTTGCTGGAGCGGTTTCAGATCAAGGTGGGTGGGCAGAGGCTAGTTGGCACAGGCACGAGGCACAGTCCAGGTGCAATCAAGGGGCACAGCGTTGATGCGTTGTTGTTTCTCTGTGTTGTTTCTCACCCCCTGCATTGCAGAATCCCGGGTTTGACATCTCTGGTGCAGAGCTCACAGGATGGCTTGGCTTGGCTTTAAGTTTTGCTGGTTCGTGTTGTGCCCTCTGTGTTGTTCCCCACTCCCCACGCATTGCAGAATCCAGGGTTTGACTTCTCTGGTGCAGAGCTCACAGGATCCTGCCCCGACCCAGCAGCGTTCCTTGGTGGCATGCAAAGGCAGTGACTTGCTAGCAGCGTTCCTTGGTGGCATGCAAAGGCAGTGACTTGCTAGCAGCGTTCCTTGGTGGCATGCAAAGGCAGTGATGGGATAGCAGTTCACCGCTTGAAACCACTGCGCACCAAGACGAACCATTCATTACGACGAACCCAGAACAAAAAAGCATGACGTTCCATACAACAGCACAAACTTCAAAGCACTCACAATCGTTTTCTGCCACACTTCAAGAATACCGTACGCCATCAGGGACTCGTTGTAGTACCTTGCCTTGGCGTCGTCGGTATCTTCAGTAGGCTCCGTCTAACTCCCGTCGAAGTAGTGAAAAATCTGAGCGTTCTGCAGCAGGAGCTCTAGCTCGAAGCTCTAGGAAGTCTCTGCCGTCAAAACACACAGTTGTCTTTATTTTTGATATGGTGAGAAACCTTGATTGCGCAGAGAGAATTGCCTCTTCACTGGGACGGGGAGTCTTGGGGGTTGAGCCATTTGTGTCGAGGGAGAAAGTGTGCGGGGCGGCGTTTTGGCCGTTTGGGGTTGGTTGAGTAGGTTGCGAGGAGGTTCCCGCATCGCCGTTCCGCAATGTTTGGAGCCCTTGCTCCAAGCTGGTGAGTCGCTGAAGTAATTGTGTGAGGACTTCGGTCCCGATCGTCGTCGTTTCCTTGCTTGTCGCAGCCGGGTTGGGTTGCGCTTCAGCCGTCAGATTTGTCTGACCACCAGATCCTCCGGCCATTCTCACACGCGATCATGTGCCGGACGCCACTTTCTGAATGTCGCAGATTTCGGAGATGGCAGTGCGAAGGATCCCCGAGTCGCTCTCATACCATGTTGCGATTAGAGGGTGATCGCTCCCAGGATCTCCTCAGGAAGGTTCGCACACAGCTAGATAGTGTTGGTGGGCCCTTGACCTCAATAGCAGAGTGAATGTAAAATGCTTGAGATGATAAGAACATGCAAATACAAATATATAAATATGAGTACAAGGGGTACATTCTCTTATTCAAATTCATTCCCAACCGTGCGGCGCGTATAGTTACGAAACCGTTCCCGCCGAATTCCTCCTGCTTGTAGCTGCCTGATGCCATCTGCTCCGACGGTCCCGATCCACCCTAACCATCTGACGCTTCGAGTCAATTCTGACCCTTCGCATTCATTCTCGATATTGTGTGCTTCCTTAGCTGCGGTTTAGGAGTGCACAGTAATGTTTCATTCATTACTTTTCGTAACATACTCCCTCCCTCTGTCAACAATAATTAATGTCTCTGGCACCCACCAGCCTATCAAGCTCATCCATCGACTCCTGGTGCTCCGACCCCTTCTTGCCCTTCACCTTGCCCCCCCCCCTCTCTCTCTCCCTCCCTCCTTTCTCATCTCTCATCCATAGATATTCGATTTGTAAGCCGCCAGGAGCCTACTGAGCTCCACATTTCGTTGCAGAAAGTGGAGCGAGGCAAAAAGTGGCTGGGCGGCGGCGCAATAAACGGGCATAGTCTGGTGCTTTCTCCTCTTCTTCTCTTCACCTCTTTGCATCCCACAGAGAGGCACTGAGCTCCACATATCGTTGCAAAAAGCATAGCGAGGCAAGCTGTGGCCGGGTGCAATCAAGGGGCACACTCTTGATGCGTTCTCTGCGGACCAGGAGTCGAGACGGCTCATGCTGGAGCGGTTCCAGATAGAGGTGGGTGAGGAGACTTGGGTTGGACATAAGTGGGCACACCAGAGTGCTGCTACAAAGGGCACACTCTTGATGCCTTCTCTACGGACCAGAAGTCGAGACGGGTCATGGTTGAGCGATTTCAGATAGAGGTGGGTGAGGAGACTTGGGTTGGGACATAAGTGGGCACGCCAGAGTGCTGCTGCAAAGGGCACACTCTTGATGCCTTCTCTGCAGACCAGGAGTCGAGACGGCTCATGCTGGAGCGACTTTAGATAGAGGTGGGTGAGGAGACCTGGGTTGGACATAAGTGGGCAACCAGAGTGCTGCTGCAAAGGGCACAGTCTTGATGCCTTCTCTGTGGACCAGGAGTCGAGACAGCTCATGCTAGAGCAGTTTCAGATAGAGGTGGGTGGGTAAGCACAGGTAGGCACGAGCAGGAGGCACGAGCGGGAGGCACGAGTGGGAGGCACGAGCGGGAGGCACGAGCGGGAGGCACGAGCGGGAGGCACGAGCGGGAGGCACGAGCAGGAGGCACGAGCAGGAGGCATGAGCAGGAGGCACGAGCGGGAGGCACGAGCGGGAGGCACGAGCAGGAGGCACGAGCGGGAGGCACGAGCGGGAGGCACGAGCGGGATGCACGAGCGGGAGGCACGAGTGTGGACGGTGTCAGTTGAAGTTATCCATACTCGAGGGATCAGTCCCAGTACAGTCAAGGGGCACAGCCTGGATGCTTTTTCTGCAGACCAGGAACGACTCGTGCTGGAGCGGTTTCAAATAGAGGTGGGTGGAAGCATTTCAGGTAGAGATGGCTAGGGACATATCTTTAGAGCGCTTTAAGAGAGAGGCGGATGGGTGCAATCACAGGACTTAGTCTCGGTTCGTTCTCCGCGGACCAGGGGTCCAGACGGCTCTTGATGAGCGATTATAATAGGGGTGGGTGGACAGAGGTTGGTTGCCACGGGCAGGAGGCACAGTGTGGGCGCTGTGGAGGTTATCTGTAGTGAAGGGTACAGTCCAGGCGCAATCAAGGGGCACAGTGTTGGTGCTTTCCTGCAGACCTGGAGTCGAGACGGCTCATGCTTTTCTGGAGGTCTCCTGGACCTGGAGTCTAGGAGTCCAGGAGCTTTCCTGATAGAGGTGGGAGGACAGAGGTTGGTTCGCACAGGCAGGAGGCACAGTGTGGACGTTGTGGGGGTTATCTGTATTGAAGGGTACAGTCCAGGTGCAATCAAGGGGCACAATGTTGGTGCTTTCTCTGCAGACTAGGGGTCCAGACGGCTCATGCTGGAGCGATTCTGATTTTCCACTCAAACTGTCTGTCAGCTTCACTTCGCATCTTGTCAGCTTCCCTTTTGATTCTGCACATATATTGCAGGCTGCCTTCACTTTCGCTTGCTCCTGTGTTGGTGTTCCCTACAAAATGCAGAATCCAGGGTTTGACTTCTTGGTTGCAGAGCTCACAAATTCCCGTGTGCTCCCTCTTTTTGTGCCCTCTGTGTTCCCCTCCCCACGCCACGCATTGCAGAATCCAGGGATTGACTTCTCAGGTGCAGAGCTGACAGGATCGTGCCCCGACCCAGCTGCATTTCTTGGTGGCATGCAAAGGCAATAATCGGTTGGCAGACTTTCTTGGTGGCACAAAAAGGCAGTGATGGGGTAGCAGCGATTCTTGGTGGCATGTACCTTTGAATGGCAATCAGAAGCAAGAATCTGGCTAGTAGCATTTGACTGGCTAGCAGCTCTGGTTTGGGTGGAAAGAACAAAGAGAGGTGCCTTTAGGTGAGTATGCAGGTAAACATGGCACTGAAATTTACATGGAAGCAACTCACTAGCACATGCACTCTTTCTCAAACGGTATCTTTTTGTCTAAAACACACAAATACTGTACTTGTAGGCATTTGCTTTAATATTCAAGATAACAGTGAATGTACCGCAATATATGATGACTATTAAGTTGCAAAACATAACGCACGTCCTTATTATCGTAATCATGTGCCACTCATACACACTCATACACACACACACGCACACACACACACACACACACACACACACACACACACACACACACACACACACACACACACACACACACACACACACACACACACACACACACACACACACACACACACACACACACACACACACACACACACACACACACACACACACACACACACACACACACACACACACACACACACACACACACACACACACACACACACACACACACACACACACACACACACACACACACACACACACACACACACACACACACACACACACACACACACACACACACACACACACACACACACACACACACACACACACACACACACACACACACACACACACACACACACACACACACACACACACACACACACACACACACACACACACACACACACACACACACACACACACACACACACACACACACACACACACACACACACACACACACACACACACACACACACACACACACACACACACACACACACACACACACACACACACACACACACACACACACACACACACACACACACACACACACACACACACACACACACACACACACACACACACACACACACACACACACACACACACACACACACACACACACACACACACACACACACACACACACACACACACATACACACACACACACGCACGCACACACACGCACACATACACACGTAGGTGAGCACACACACACACACGCACAGATAGTTGATAACTATATGGGAAATGTGAGAGGAGAGAAGAATGGAAAACCTAGAGATAATACCGGTAGAATGGCAAAAGTAAAACAGGCTAGCTGCAGACGACAAATCTCATGGCAGTACCATTGCTCCTCCCCTGGCCGCATCAAGCTTGCCTAGAGGCACCATTTCAACAGCAAACTCAACCATTGTCTTCTGTCTTCAAAGAAGCCTCTTCTGCCTTTTGTTTACTGAACTGCTGGTCTCTATTCTCCACAAGTCCAATGATTAGCGCATACACATGAAGGAGAATATGTCACTTGATGTGGGTCTGTTGGGTGGCACACAAAGAAGTACCGGTAGGTAGATACAGGGAAACGGAAACAAACTCGAGAACTGGGTTTGCATGGGATAAACACAGTTTTAGAAACAATAAGGACGCTGAAACAGTGCAAGAAAAAAAAAAAAGATATCTCGAAAAACATAAGCTTGTGTGCTTGACTTACGTGACGCCCACTGCAGTGATGCTGGTCAGCGACAGGTAAGTGAGTGTAGCGAACGGGCCAACACAGTTTGGATAATGATAAAGGATAATTTTCATGCAATCACCAGCTCCTCCAGGTGCG